CACATACACACACACATACACATGCACGCACACACGCGCACACACACACACACACATACACATGCACACACACGTGAGTTTGAGTGTTTCTTTTACAGTGTGTTTGTAATACCTGGAATACGAGCTCCATATATAACCGTTTCTTCTGTCGCCCCTCCCCTCTGCTGTCATTCGCTCATATGAAGGAACACACCCCCTCTACACCCCTTTCCTCACATTACCCCGCCACCTCCCACCACTCCTCCTGTCAGCTCCTTTTATTTTGACCCCATCTGCTCCTCCGTCTATATATGTATGTATTTTGGCAGCGTCACACGTGCTGGAGACCTCCGGTAAACTCCTTGTGTTTCTCAAAACCACCTCCACCATGAGCCCTTTTGTTCAGACAACCCCCTCCCGCCCCTCTCTGGCAGCGCTGCATGGACATTTGTTTTCTGTTAAGTTTTACTGGGGAAGATAAGTATGTTGAAAGTTGTTTCCACTTCCTGTCATTGTGCTTTGGAGAAAGATTGTGCTGCAAAGTATTCCAAGCTGAACCAACTGTAAGATACAACGAATAAGGCCAGAGACAGATCGTGTCTGTACACTTATATCTTTTTTATTTATGGTGACTGTCTCAGAATCTGTTCCTGGTCTCTAGAGCATTATAGCACAACTTTAATCTTGCATCCCTTGAATCTTTGGTGACCTCTAGTGGGGGTCCCGACCCCCAGCTTAGGAACCACTGCTGAATTACCCTGAAATGTGGTTCACACATTCATGTTCCCTTCAGGATGACTTTTTGAAAGATGTTTTTGGGGCTTTTTATGCCTTTATTTTGATAGGACAGCTGAAGATAGAAAGGGGTCATAGCATTTAGCTCAAAGCACAGCCTCATAGGCACGTTTTCATTAGTGTATAATCACCAGTTACCTTAAAATGAGCAGGGACCTCTTGTACGGAGTCCGCCATGTTAACCCACCACATTTCTACAGTAGCCCAGAAGGGACAAACGAAACACTGGCTCTAGATGGGGGCTTTTGAGTTGGAAGAGGAGCAGTATTAAGTTGGTCGCAATCTGTAACTTCACCACTAGATGTCACTAAATCCCATATAATGTGAAAGGACTCTATTCTTATTCTGTTCAGGCACACTCAAATATTCCTGTCTGGCTGTCTGGCAGGGGTCTTCACTACAGTGATCGTGGCTCCAGGAGAGAGAATCAAATGTTTACTGCAGGTAAAGAGTGTGTGTGTGTGAAAGATGGTGTGTTATTTTATGATCTATTATGCACTCCAGGGTTTAAGTAGCAGATTTGGATTTCACATGATATTATATCATTAGATTACTACTGCATGCATTAAAGG